AGACTGGATTACACAGGTTACATCTACTGGTATTATGGCCAAATGGTCATTATGGCTAGATGCTTTTGCTGACCCAGAAGGAAGCTTACAGAAAGCACCTTTAATTGGTTCACACAGCTTATGTCTTCACCATTAAGTAGTTGAAAGGTCTTTAAAACTGGCTTGAACTCCATTTATTTTTATTTTTACTTATTTGAATGGTAAGCTCAAAATTAGCATATAACTTATAATGACAATCCTTGATTCATCACAAACTTAATGATCATTTTGTAATTGTTTTCTTTCAGCTTTACTAAGTACTGCATCGTTTTTTATTTTAATCTTCAATAAACAGTTTTTGTTTTAAATGAGGCCTCCAGGTCTCCTCACAGGCACAGTCCAGTCGCCCGTGAGCTTTGCATATGTGTTTCTTGGGTGTAGAGCGATGGTGAATAGTTTCCATCCAATGTACATCCTATCTGGGGTGATACCAAATCTGGATGCTGCTGGCTGCCATGACCAGGCCAGCTGGACATTTCATTGGCATGGGGCCAGGTAGGAAGGCACAGGGGTCCTGATAAGAAATACTCAACATTCTACTTATCTTCTCTGTGTTTAAGATTACAATTCAGGTACAATTTTACCCTTTAATTTGTAACAAGCCAGCATTAGGATGCACATGTGTGTCAAGGATCTGTCTTTGCATAGACAAGACTAATAAAGACCAGGAGAATGTTAACTCGGTAAATTGACTGGAAGAAGGGAGGGGGAAACTCTGGAGTTTTAGCAGGAGGAGTATCAGCATTAGAAACAGCAGAAACAGCAACATAGATTAGGAGCATTGCAGGAATTTGTTTTCAAACACATATACACACACATTCAATGAAAATTAACATGCAGACCCACCCACAAATCATTTCTCTGACTCTGAGCTGCTTTCCTGTCTACAGCTGTTCTGCTAAATGCACATCTGGTGGGTGTAATGGTAGCCCCACCCTGATGAGTTAACTCAGCTTGGCAGGCATATGCTCATTTGCATGATACAGGGATACAATGTCTCCCTTGCAGCAGTCCTTGCTGGAGGAAGCTTCCTTTACTGAATCATGGCTTGCATGTACACCCTCAGCCATCTATCAATATTTACAGCTATTTTAATTACAGTTGTAGAACCAAGGCCATTAGGACAAATTGCACTTTGCTGTGCTGCTACAAATCTGGCACAACACCATTGATTTCTGGCCAGTTACTCTGGATTTACAACTGTGTTGGAGAAATCTGAATCCTATTCAGTAAGTCCAAAGACAGCTGAGTAGTAAATGATACACAATTTCTAAATCAAAAGGACCAATAAGTAACTATGATCCTTTTTTTATAGTTGGTAGATCTCTCTTCCAACTCCCCATCCCCCAGCGTTAATACTGCAGATTACACAAAATCTTCTTTTCATCTAGCAGGCAAGGCAATAAAGTTTACTCTCCAGTGTCAGAGAAGCAGAAGTATACGACTTGCAATATACTGTGATTTAAGAACCAAAACCTGGATAAACAATATACTGTGCTGTTATGAGACTGTTCTGCCATACTGGATGGAATTTTGCTTTCCAATACAAAACCAAAGTAGAAAATGGATGGAAGTCACTGGTCTGTATTTGATCAGTTTTCCAGCAGTAGCAAGTTTCTAAACTAAATCAGAAAAGGGGGAGACTCAAATTTCATTCATTAAGATAACCTTTCTCTACTAGTCAAGGCTGAAACTTTTAAAATTCAGGCCTGTATTAGTTTGGTATAGTAACATACAGTTGGGGGGGAAAGAGATGGAGGGTTTTTTTAAGGGTTTAATGGAATATGAACATTTTTGGAAATGTGGGCAGCCTCAGCAAGTTATACGACACTGAATCTGGGGCAAGTGATGCTCTGTCATCTTGGTGCTTGGGGGGGGTCAACAGTGGGAGGGCTTCTAGTGTCCTGGCCCCACTGGTGGACCTCCTGATGGCACTGGTATTTCTGGCCACTGTGTGATACAGAGTGTTGGACTGGATGGGCCTTTGGCCTGATCCAACATTGGCATCTCTTATGTTCTTATGTTAATCCTCCATGATGTACCCAGAATGTCCCCAGGTGTTCAAAGACCCCTGACATCTCTGGAGTAGAAAGTGGATCACTGTAGTGTAGTGACACACAAAAACAACAATACTGCTATTAATGAATGAATGACAATTCTCAGCAAATTTGGAAACTAAAAGGTAGCAGAAGGAGAGCAATATAGTGCTTAATTCATGAAGAAAATAGGCATTTAGAACTCTGCAGATTCTGCTGATGAAATGATGACTTCTCAAACTATGAGTGCTTTACAAGGCAATCCTAAATGGACTCAATAGTCTTAGAAGAATCTAACTCTACTTCAGATTGCACTGCTACTCACTTTCCCCCTTGTTTAGCACTTTTTTTGGAGCTCACACCAAAGCCTGCCATAAATCAGCGCTCCCAGCCATGAGTAATTTTACACTGAAGGTCCACTGAAAATCTGGTACACCCAACAGTTTGATAGCTACAGGGGGCATGTGCTCTCCTAATGTAAGTAAGTTTTAGCTTGAAATGTTGCTGAATATTATTCAGCTGCCTAGACAGAATGAATAGATGCTTGTAGTAGGGAACAGATGCTGATAATATTTCTGCATTTATCTCAACAAGGCTAGGTGATACACTAATCGGTAGAGAAAGTAAAAAAACCCTATATAATAAGCTGACTTTAAAAAAAAACTTTTACAAAAATACCTTCCTTGGCATAAGGTATTGTTAAATCATGTCCTTCTTGGGACACTGGTCTCTTTCTGTGACCTGTGTGCTCATTAATTATTCCTGTTACTTTCAGTGTTGCAAGCATAGCATGGATTTTCTACTAGAGATACAGGAAAAGTAACATGGAATGAAAGGTAACATTGTCTAGGGAAGAGAGACAAGAAATAACAAGAGGAAAAGCAAGTAAGTCTTGAAATCATTCTATGAGACACTAAAACACACCCTCTTCAACCTCCAACCTGGATGGTAACTCGTATGCAATGCATCTATAAACAGGAAAGTACAAAGGTAATCAGGAAGACTTTTTCCCCTAGGTGTTTACAGGAGGAGAAATAAGAATTGCCTTCCTGGAGCAGACCCAGTGTCTATCTAGCCCAGCACTAAGTATATATGAACATATGAAACCACCTTATTCTACATCATCTAGCTCGGTACTGTTTGCTCTGACTTGGCATTGGCTTTCTGGAGTCACAGGCAAAGACCAAAGTCAGGTCTCTCATGACATCTGCTACATGAGATCCTTTAACTGGAGAAGCTAAGGATTGAACTTGGGGCCTTCTGCATGCAAGGTAGGTATTCTGCCATTGAGCTGTAGTCCCTCCCTTCAAAATAAACAGAGTCCAATTTCCCCCCAGTTCACCTGAAAGGCTAGATCTATTTCTTCAGTGAATCTCATCTATCAACCACTTCTGACTGATGGATGAACTTATGAAACTACCTTATATCAAGAAGAACCATTTGTCTATGCAGCTTAGTATTGTGTCCTTGGCATGCAAAGCATGTGTCCTGCCGTTGAACTATAAACCGCACTGTTTGTTCCTGGTCTACCAGATGTATCTGGAAAGTTCAAAGGCAGGCACAATGAACATTCTCGCCTGCAAATGCATTACCTTTTCGATGATCTGTTATACTCCATTATGAAAGAGCATGAACTGTTCAGAAAAAGATGGGTATCAGGAGGAAGAGGGAACTGTCCCTATCATCAAGACAACTGGACTGATGCTCCCTCACCAGTCCTATCACACTTCATTCATTAGTTGAGGCAGAATGAGAGGCACATTGAAATGTGTATCTCATTTAAAGCAATACATTGCAGACAAATGTCATGCATTGCACATTCGTGGGTTCATTTTATTAGCATTCATTCAGTGGGATATGTATTTAGTGGATGAGCATCCAAACAGCCCTTCTGCTGCATCTAGCCATTTGCTAGAGATGGATTGGGGTGGCAGTCTAGCTGTACAGTGCTGGAGGACAACAAATCTGCCAGAACAGGGTGGTCAACCAGACGAGGACCATTGGCCCAGTTTCCTGGGTAAGAAGGATATATTCCAACTGGTTTCCCAAAGCAGAAGCAGGATATCGGGGAAATAGTAACTACAAAAAGGCATGGATGTGGGTTTTTTTCATGTATTCCCCCCCCCCAAAGCAGAAACTTAACTTCACAAAAATTCAACACAGCAGCACAACTAGGGCGAACTTAATAATGATGATTCGAGCAAGAACCAAACCTACAATGTCATAGATGCCCAAGACTTCAAACTTTGAGCTATGCCGCTCATGGCGTAAGGGTGGGATCTAGCTTCATGATTGTGAACTAAGGTCTCAGAACCCTACCCAGGCACAGAAAGGTTTCAGGTAATGCTACACTGCCCACCACAACTGGCAAGTCATATCAAGCTTTTGGATTGGCCAAAAGGGGCTTCAACACAAACACATACCACTATCAGACAACTGCTTATAGGCTGGATCCGATGAACTGTGAGTGGAAGGGACTCTTCCCCCCCCCTCCTCCCTGAAACTTCCCTCAAAAGCTGTACACAAGAGTTCAGGGATCCTTTGGAACAATGTGGGATGAAGCATGAGGGACTCCGGCTTGAGGAGAAATCAACAGAAATCACTCTGGTCTTCTCTTGTGTGAGCTTCTGCCAGTAGAGAAAGAGATCACACAAAAGGTGGGGGGGACAGTTTCTGCTGATATCTGCTTTTCCTTGCAAATATCTCTTCTATATTGCACTCTGTTCCCAACCTTCCGGACTAGCTCATGGGGGTGGGGAGGTGTTAACAGGCTGCAGGGGAAAGGTAGAGAGAAAGGCTCCATGAACTCCTTCCATTCACAGTTTGATGGATACTCATTCTCTTCTATGTAACATCTTTTTTTTAAAGTACAGCTAGTTAGTCCCAACATTCTTTCCATTATTATTATTGCAGTTCTCGACTTACAATTTACTGTGACTTTTACTTTTTTGACATCTGGAACAGAGACATCATTTTCAGCACTGCATTCATATTCCCCAGCTTGGTCTCTTGTAATTCCGTAGATGTCCAGATACTGTCCACTTTCAAATGGTTTTGCTGGAATTAAGACAAATAAATGAAAGTTTACAGAAGTTAAATTGGCATTGACTGGAGTGTCATTCAGGTATAAACAGGCAGCTCATGACTTGCTATTGGAAGGGAAACTGCTAACAGGACTATTCCAAAATGAAGGTGAAGAATTATTACATCTTTTCTTTCTCTGTGTGTAGATGAAAAACAACCTCACATTGTACAGCATCAATTAAGTAGCAATACTATAACAGTGACTATCACAGAACAGAATATACACAATCTCTTTATAATTGATTAGAGTTACCTAACCTAGACATACATCAAATAAATCTATGCCCATTTTGGAATTGAACTGAACAGGCTTCTAGCCGAGTAGATGAAATTCTACCATTACGCCTCAGTTTATATTGACTTTTACAAAATATAAGGTTTCATTTTAACCAGAAAAAGCTGACACACATTTCAAATATTTGCAGTGGAAAGGCATTTCATTTTGACTAAAGCTTTTGAATCTCAATGTTCTGTTAACAGCTTCAATATCCATTGTGTTCCACTTCAGGCTTAAAGGCATATAAAAGTTGGTACTATATGTGCTCGCTTTCAGAATCAAGAAACAAGCCAGGAAGCAAATGGAAGACCTGAATACCAAGGCTTCCTTCCTCAAATCACTCACAGATGAATTCCTGAACTGAGTTGAACACATATGAAACTGCTATATATTAAGTCAAACTATCAGCCTATCAGGGTCAGAACTGTCTACGCTGACCAGCTCTTCAGAACGTCAGTCTTTCACACATCACCTAATGCCTGATGCTTTGAACTGGCGATTCCACCAGTGGAACCCAAGACCTTCTACATGTAAAGCAGATGCTCTGCTACTCCAGTCCCCTTGTGAATTGGTATGGCATGTAAGAAACAAATGAGATATGCCTCTGACACATATGAAAAAGTGAAACAATTTTAAAACAAACTGATATGTTAGCAATGCATTAAAATTAATTAAAAATAAGTAACAGAAATGAACAATTGCTTAGAAAGCATGTATGAAATGCTGTATGTTGGTGCTTCACCAGATTTTTTTGGAAATTCAATATTTGATGAGAAAAGCAGGATTTCAAGGGGTATGAAACTCCCCTTTAAAAAATGTATTTGTTTTTGCCGTCAAGTAGCAGCTGATTTATGGTGATCCTGTATGATTTTCAAGGCAAGAGAGAGTCAGAGGTAGTTTGCCACTGCCTGCCTCTGCATAGCACCCTAGGTATTCCTTGGTGGTCTTCCATCCAAATACTCAGGGCTGGCCCGAGGTTTTTTGGTGCCCTAGGCAAAACTAGCACCCCCCCCAGGCTTGGCTTTGTTGCGCCCCCCTCACCTTCTGTCCTCCCCCACCACCGTGTGCGTCTCCAGCGCTCAAGCTGGGTGCTAAGCTGGGCGCATCGGGGGGGGGGGAGATGGTGGCCTTTCTGCATTTTCTCCCCCCGCTTCCCCCATCTCTCCTTTCCCCCCCCAGGGGACTGGGACCCCCCAGCTGTGTGCGCCCCGTCCCCTCACTCCCTGTGGGGGCGGCACCAAGGAGACTCACTGAGGGCAGCGTGGAGGAGACGTCTGGTCCAAGCAGGCCTGTCTCAGAGGAGGAAGCAGTGGAGGGTCTGCTCCAGCCCCCTCTATGCACCACACATGCCTACCTGAGCTGCCCTGCTGCTGGGCCCTTCAGGCGGCACCGTCTGCCTCCTGCCTGCCCTGCAGGCCCCCTTGCCTCAGGACAGGCCCAGAGTGTAGCAGGGGGCGCTTCCTCCCTCCTTGCTTCCTTCCCCGCCCGCTTCTGGGTGCACTGGGTGCTGGACTCAGGTTGAAAGAGGCAGCGGCGGCGGTCCCCCGGTCAGGGACCAGATGCATGCATGGCTTTTGGTGTGAGGGGGTGCAGTTTGGCACCCCTAAGGGCCGACCCGCTCTAGGCAAATGCCTAGTTCACTTAGTGAGCAAGCCAGCCCTGCAAATACTAACCAGGGCTGACCCTGCTTAGCTTCTGAGATCCAATGAGGCTGGAATAGCCTGGGCTATCCAGGTCAAGGCAAAAACATTCTACCTCAGAAGAATTTCACCATTGCTTTGGAGCCATTTGTAAGGATTGTTCCTTCTTCACTATATAATCCCAGTAAGTTAGGAGGTGTATTGACCATCTATCGAGACTATTTGGGTTGAATAAGACCAGTATTGATCTTGAAAGGGTCTTACAACTCAGTCTGCCTGGCCAAATGCAAAAAGTTCTTCTTTCTTTTGCTTCTCCGGCAATCCCCTCATTAATTATCAAGGACAAAAATAGACTTATCTCATGGGGAATCTCACCCGGTGAGAGTATTTGAGAACTTGACGGTTAAACCCTTGATACGGATTAAGGTGAAACAACTCAGTAAGGGCTCTATTGAGTCATCCAAACTACAAGTTAGGCAGCTGATACATGAGGAATCCAATTCTTCAAAGGAAGCCTCGCTTTGTCAACTGGAAGCTAATGGAGAAGGAGATCACTCAGAACCGATGGAGGCGCAACCAGCGGAGGGATATCTACTGAATTCCTCAGAAGAAGAGTTTTTGGTCTCATTTGGGGACCCGACTCCAGTCGAGCAACAGGCAGTGTGTGAAAGACTGGTCTTAACACTAAAGAAACTAAATGATTTCTTAGGAATAGAAACAACCCTGCAAAGTAGGACGTCGGATTTTGGAAGAGGAGAAACTAACGATCTCCCTATTGGGACAGTAGATGCCTGCCTACAACAATCACCTTCGCACAGTAGTCTGATAGGGGGGTTGATGAGAAGTGACCCACAACCTTCTTCCAATGGTTGTGTCTTCCGAGACCAGGAGGGGTTGTTAGAACAAATTAGTATGGATCAATGACGTTTAAATTTCTTGTCCTGGAATATTGGTTGGTTGTGGAATAAACACTGGGATCCTGAGTTGATCAAATTTCTAGGTCGCTATGAGATAGTGATGCTCCAAGAGACCTGGGCCTCGGTCTCAGCTCCCCCTATTATGGAAGGTTTTAAGGTCTATAACATGCCTGCTGTTAAGGTTCATAAAAAAGGGAGAAGTTGTGGGGGTTTGGTTACTGCGGTTAAGAACTCCCTCCAATGGGAGGTGGAATTGATCCCCCATGATTGTGAGGATTTTGTGCTACCTCTTCTGTTTAGAGGCCCCTTTAGGGGGAGCCTTATGTGCCTAAATGTATATCTACCTCCTAACGGCATTAATGGAGTTAACAATGAAATATGCTGGGGGAAACTGGTTACGCTCCTGGAGCAACTAGCGGTACAGTATCCAGGCGCACAGCTAATCTTAGGAGGGGACTTTAACGCCAGGATAGGTTCTTCAACTCCGGATCAGGAGGATGGAGGGTGTCCTGACGGGAATATCCTAGCGATAGGACGAATTCTCCAGGACCCTGTCATCAATAGATCTGGTAGGAGATTTTTGGAGACCCTCTCAATGTTTAATCTACTGGTGCTGAATGGCACAAGGTGGGACGCTTCAGAGGGGAATTATACCTATTTCTCTGGCCTGAGAAGAAGTACTATAGATTTTGTGGTAGTTTCGGGGGATTTGTTGGAGCAAATTCTCTCTCTTGAGGTGATTGAGTCCATACACAGTGACCATAAGCCACAGCATAGGAGACCCAAATGGACTACAAAAGTCCAGAAACTAAGTATGGAGGTACTTCCAAAGGGCTTTGACCAATTAGGGGGCGAAGCTGATGCGATCCCACTTTATGAGA